TAAAGGATTCAGAGTTTGCAGTACGTTTTGCGGGCATGCTCCGAATTCTACCTCATGGTCGAAAAGGCTACTGAATGAGTGCAGGCCTTCTTACAATGACTTGCGCAGGCCAGCCGATTAGCAAGTCAGTGCTTTTAGCCTCCTAAATTACTGTGGATAAAGGATACAGCCATCCCAGAGGCGGGATCGAACCTCATCTCTGGTCATAGCGCCGCCTCATACCACTACGCCACTCGTTCCCCATGGACTGCCAATTCGAATTATCATTTTTTGTCCGCTCCTTTCTTCCGCTCCGCCCTTCGAGGGTCGACTTCCTAACGCGTTCTGACGTAAGCATAGTCGAGTGCTCACTATACAACTGCATCCTTTGTGCATACGACGTTTTGGCTACGACGAGAATAATACCGGACTCTTCGTCTACAAATGTCGGAATAAGGTTTCGGAGAAGGGATTTTCTGCGGTTTCCACATAATTTGCACCCCATGTCTAATATTGAAGTCATGGAAAGGTTTTGATAAAACCACTAAGACGAAAATCTGAATGGGCGCTGATTTTGAAGGCAGCGTCTAGGCAAATCTGTACTTACGAGGATCAAGCGTGGAGAGTGGATTTGAAGCACAAAATAAGACACGCCCAAGCGGCAGCTACATGGTGCATTCGCGCTGAGATCATCTTCGACCAGACCCTAGCATCGTATCATTGGACGACTTGCCTCATGCTCATATGGTCTCATAGAATGAGCCACGAGTTTCCGTGGGTCATGGCGCGATAGCATGCAAACAGGCAAGCCGTCTGTTCAACGATCTTGGGGTCCACTTAGGAGGCCAATATCTCGACCGTGAATGAAACTTTAGCGCTACCGCTCGGGCAGTATCTAGTTAGGCCCCCAAAATTACTTTCCACGTGAGAACCGCATAGGTCCAGATCTGCCTGGGTGCTGCCTCCGAGTTCGCAGAAATCTACGGTATACCCTTGATACACCCTATGTCTCCTAAGGAGCAGCCCTAGGCCTTTCCTGCAAACTATTTCTTCCCTTCAAGTTTATTGGAAATACTTGTGCTCTTATCTAATCCGACAGCGCTCAGCATGTTCTCTTAGGAACTAGCTGTCAAACCTGGCTCCGCCCCGCCCTGTCAATCATATATTCGTAATCGGCATGTTCACTTACCCCCTGTGCCAACTCCGAGCCGTAGCTCAAATTATGCAGAAAATCAATAGCATCGATATCGTTCGATAACGAACAGTAGGCAGTGACAGACATCCGCAAAATGACATTCTACAAGTGCTAGGCATACGTGAAATTGGATACATTTTTCGTTTTTATTTTCTTTCACTTATCACCTTTGATTGGCTCATACTTATGTTGACCACAGTTTCTGCTCTGCACTAGAGTAGCTTTCTTATATTTCCTATGTCTTTCCTTTCTTTTTTCTTTTCGTCTTTGCAGTTCTTGTCACTGAATCTTTTCACTTCTCATTACCTTTTCATTCAGATCTAGTCTTTTGCACTACACTGGTCTGTGAATGCAATATTAGTATAATTTTGGCGTAGTCCTGACTTCTTTTCGCTTCGATTAGCTACAGCGGGTTTGTGGGGAGGAGCGGGAGTTTCGCTTTGCGTTGCTGGCAGGCCCCTGTCAGTACACCCTTTGGCTTGCTTGGCGGAAGCTGCCAGTACAACCGGTCGCCGGGCTTTTGGTCCGTCCTCACGACTTGATGTGGCTGTTCGAGTAACAGACAGGGGCGAACAATGTTATCAACGTTGTTGAATGTCCCTGTTCTCTTCCACTAAGTGCAAAGTAAATCGGACTAAACCTGGATGACTGATTAATTATTGTACGACTTTGGTTTAACTTTGTTGTTTTTCTTGTTTCTGTTTGTTGTCGTTTATATTCACTCCGACTTGCTCTGGATTATTTGTATTGAAGCAAAATGAAAATGAAAATGTATCAGGCATGCTCAGCACTATTGAAATGGACAATCAGCACAAAGTAAAGTCGTTCTTAGAAGGTAAATAGCTGGTTGAAATTGAACGTTTCTCTCAAAAAATAAGTGACTTAAAATGAAAACGGACGGTAGCCGCCGATCTTTGGGGGATTATGCGAAAAAGTGAGATACGTTTTACACAGCGCAAGTTTTTATTCAGTGTGTCTATAGTATAGTTAAATCACTTAGGGATGGATAGACAACGTAAACTCAGTCTTTTGGAAATTTAAGTTAAAAACGGAGTGTATGCAATGCTTGTGTCCCTAAGGCTTGTCTGAAAGAGAGAGTAATGTTACGTTGATGTCATCCAGTACGATTCTATCCTGTATTCCATAGCTCCGCTTTCATCCTATGTACCGGTAACCGAAAATCATTATTTCAGATTTGTGCTTTCGATATCACTCAAAATGGAGTTGCGTACATTATTTTTACATGTCAAAAACGGAGAGGTCATAGTATGCTACTCCTAAAGGACTGGGCTTCTGCCATGCATCCAGACATCCGCATTCAGACTGGAGCCTTTGGGAAATGTGTGCAAAAAATTATTTACTGAAAACATGCTGAAAATTTCGTATTAGTAACATAAGTTTTGGCAGTCTTTGACTTTTCATCACAAAAGGTTATGTCCTTCTCATTCTTAATCAGTTATTAAGGTATCATGCGAAGGATTGAAGCAAGCTACGAGATGATGTTTAAATAACGGCACCAACTTTGGTCCTCGAATTGGAAGCTAAAAACTAGAGCTGCTTAAAAAATCGAAAAGAAGAGGACTCCTAATAAGAATATTCTAACTTGTTCAAACATATTCCACATCAGACAGTCATATACTTGTCTTAATTATCCTAAAGTAGAAATTGAAAAAAAAATGATGTTTTCTCCAAAGCAATTGCTAAGTTGTTCCTACAATTCACTTGTATACTAGAAACCTTGAGTAAGAATCAAATTATTGATTGTTCTGATTATTTATTTTTCGCAATGTCCTCAATATCTATCGTTCTGCGCGTTGGACCTCTCCTGAATCTCAGCAGGAAATGGTCAGAACTTAACCCAGCCATTCCAAACAAGCTGCATATGGGTAGGGGAACGAAAGCCGCCAGTTTGGGTCGCCTCCGCGGATTGCTGGTCCTGAAACGACATGCAACAACACTGCGAAAGGACCAGTTGGCCGCGAAAGGCGGCTCAAAGTGGCGGCTTTCGTTCCCCTACCTTCTGCATATCATCGGACTCTTCTTGAAACGCTGATTTTGCAAATGTATCTTTTTACTAGGTTATCCCAAAAGTAAAATCCATTTTCAAGTAAAGTGAGCCGTTTTTGTTTTTCTGATAGACTTAAGGTACCATTCGATAGAGTAGAGCAAGCTTTACAAAAAGACCACCAAGGACCTAACTAACAAGTAAGTCGTAATCCAGGCAAAAGTTGGAACCAAAAATCAAAATTTTTCGGCCACCTTATCGGATCTTCTTCCAGAAAAATAATACGGACTTCCAACTTGGTCTTTATAAAATAGACGCATAGTAGTACCCAAAAATGTATGTGGCGGATATTTTCGGGCTCAAAGTTGAGAAAAAAGGTGGTTCAAAAATGCCAAAATGTCACTTTTTGGGATTTTTTATGTAAAACTTGGTATTTCTCGATTATAGGAGCACATACAGGTATGATTTTGAAATTGCACTTAGTAAGGCTTGTAGTATACAATGACATATGTGGGAGGAGCTGGGGCGGAGTTTGCCATTTTTGAACATTTTTTGTTCTCGCTTTCTATGCTTGGAAAAAGTTTGGCAAAATCACATTTGAGTACTACTATGCGCCTACTGTATAATGACCAAGTTGAAGGTCCGTAGGGCTTTTCCTCGCGAAAATTCAATTTTAAGGGGACAAAATTTTTTTCGATTTTGGCTTCAAACTTTACATGGAATGCAACTTAGGCGGACCCTTGGTGTCTTTTTGTAGAGCTTGATCTGCTCTGTCGAACGATACCTCAAGTCTACCAGTAAAGCAAAAACAGCTTGAATTATTCGAAAAGGAGTTCACTTTTGGGACAACCTTATGCTAAGCGACTATCTGGGAGGAGTTATGAACGTTTAAATGTGCGATTTGTCAAGTGTTTTGTGGCGCATGTTTCACGCAACAAGTTTCAAAAACACTTATTTAGGTTTATGGTGAATGTGCTTCTTCCTTATAATCAAAATAACCATAGTCACTGTAAATCCGCGCCATCAGGCTGCCTTTCAAGGAAACATATTCGTCGAAACTTCAAAAATTTCTTTTTTTTTTCAATTTCATGTTTGAACGCTCATAACTCCTCCCGGATAGTCGCTTGGCATATAAAGGACATATAGTTTTGAAATCAGCGTCTTAAGGAGGGTCCGATGATATACAGCTTGTTGGAAATGGCTGGGTTAAGTTCTGACCATTTCCTGCTCAGCACTTATATTCAATGATGAATCTGAAACGTATGTTCTTTCAATCACGCGCCAAGAAGAAATTGCTTCACTGGGGACTTGTGTTCGCCATGTTTAGCTCCGCGGCGTACGATAGGCGCTGCGTTATCTGCATGGCTTTCGTATCAAATAATATCTCAGAATAGGGTTTATGGACACACTGGGATGAATGTACGCTCACAGGCAAGGTTTCGCCTTGAAACGTTGCATATCAATTCAATATAATTAGCTGTCCGCAGATGCCCTGTCTGCCTTTCTTGTCCTGCACCCTTCCTTTACTAATATTCCTCGCAAAAACATCGTCTATGGCACAGAGTGCTAGGCACGGCTGCGCCGTAACTTTGATACCTTCGTGCTTTATAAAATTTTGTGCTCCAAGCTTGTTATCACAACTCCGTAACCATAACTGTCTGTAGTAACCGAGATTACGAGGAGCGTTGGGAATAATGCAACTCGAGGCGTTTCTGTTGCCATGGTGGCTATTCTCCACGCCCCACCTCATTGCTATCACAAACACGCTAAGGTTGAGATTCGGACAACCTATTCATCTGTTCCGGTATCCGATGAATCTCTATGAGTGATGACTTGCCGCAGGACATCCGAAGAATCATTGCAGCGCAGACCGAATCCACGACATCATTGCCAAAGTCATTCACCTTGCCCGTGTTACCGAAAATTGGCCATTCTGATAGCAGTAGTTCCCCTAGCAAAAGTGACAAGGTTAAAAGTGCCTCCAGTGAAGATTCAATAGTATTGCCCCCTCTAACCGAGGGTATCAGGAGAATGCGTGTAGCTACACCCGCACGCTCTCGTCCAATTCTTAATCCAACAATTGCCGCAAGTGATTACGAGCTCAATTATTCTTCTATATCCGATGAAGCAGTCCTCGGCTCCGCCGCCTCTTCTGGTGGAGGAAGATTCAGCACTGATATTTCACAAAATAATAATTTCGACAAAACCTTCGTAATCCGGAAAGACACTCCATTTTCTGAGGATGCTATCTCACAAGTTGATCTCTCATTCGCCACTATTCCGGATAGCCTTCCAGGTAACTTAGGGAAAAATGGAAATATTCTACAATGTTTCAAGAAATTATCCATTTTATGCTACATATAAGTTGTCCAATCTCCCTTTAGCCCTCAACTTTTTGGAAAACCTCGAATTTTGATTTCGGAAAATATTCTGGAAAATCTTTTTTGTTCCTTCGTGCCCTCAACTTACTCTGCCGGAGTTTGATCTGTAACAATATCCTTTGTAAATACCATCTGTCCTTATTTCAAAGACTAATTAGTCAACAAATATAAGTACATTTCATTGCACTTTAGACATACCTGGTCTTCAAAACGCTGTTGATAATCTTAGTAACCGACGTCTGACGAATCTCCTGGATGCATGCAGGTAAACAATACATTTTTGAACGATGGCATTTTTCCAGACAAGGTAAATTACAGGTTGTACGACCGCGAATTACGAGGATATCTCAGCGTGCCATCGCTTACGAAATGCTTTGGAGAGGTGATACAGAGTGTGAGCGTTTTATTATCACCAACTATCATGGGAATGGGTGGGAGGGGGGGGGGGGAGGGGTGGCAGCAAACGTTTGGTTACATGGTTTATAAAAAGTGTAAGTGACTTGCTGATATCTATAAGTGATTAAAATTACTTTTAAAATTTCTAAAAAAATCATAATAGCCTAAATCAAAAGTTAGGGGGAGGCATGACTGCCGCCGCGTTCCTTTTTGCTAAAATTTTGGGGTCATGGGCCCAGAGTATGGGAGGCGTCTTAAAGAATTTTCCAAAGTGCGTGCTAATGCTACGCACCTTTATTCGAGAAAATTTTTGTCCCCTCTCCCGCCGCGAACGGAAATCCCGGGACCGTTACTGTCATGCACACAACTTGTTTGATACATGTACTATATAGAGTCGAGTAAGTCCCTTGCCTTTGTGTGCAATTGCACACTTTCCAAAATGTTGACGGAGGAGCATATATCTGCAAGGCATGACTGTAATAACTCACGAAAAGCTTAGAAAACACAAGAAAATAATACCTGAGCTCTGTAGCCAAACTCATCCAGGGAATTTTGCAAATGCACCTCTAAAGAAAACACGTTTGTGCATATAGAGAGATTTCTAACAATATTTTTTCAGGTCCATGCACCATCTTCACCTTGGCGATTATTTCTGCAATCTCTAGCTCCAGATGGCGAATTTGTTGAATACGAAAAACTCCTTGAACTGCTGAATGCTAGCAGACACAATGAGCACCTTGGCCCAACCATGTTGGTAAATTCACTTTTTCATCTCTTCTAATACCATCGAAGCGCAATTTTACAGTCCAGAGCTCATCGTCTCGGCGGTAGACGATAATGTAGGTTCACTATTTCGTCCAAGTACCAGCCAAGAGGATCGCGAACGGACTCGAGCTCAGGTGAATGCTTATTTACGCCTTGTAGTAATTATTTACGTAATTACGGATCGGAGTACACGTGGTGACATTGTTTTAAAGGTAGGGACACCTGGAACTCAATATTGTTCAGTATCAGGTGATGACCGAGATTGAAGTCGCGCTCATGCGGAATCCTGATCTCACGTTGGATCGACTTAAGGTTGCTACGACCCAGAAAGTAAGTTTAACTTATTAGTAAACAGAATTTATATAATTTAATATGATTTTCATTTTTTCATTTTGCCCAAAAATTCCTGCAAAAAAACTAGTTACTGTTTTATAAACAATTAGCTCAGGTTGGCAAACAAATGTACACAAAATAATCTAATGCCCTCCAATCGTAATATGTAATTTTTAATTATTTTAACGGAAAATGACAGTGACAAGACAAATCTCTTTCTACCCGGGCGAACGTTCTTTTTGTGCTTTCGGAAGTTTCACAGGTTCAAAGAAGTTTTGACGTTGTTAGGCGCATTTCTTTCATCTCATTAATTCTCCCTTGGGATTGGACAGGTGTTTTGACGTATCTAATCAGTTTCTTACCTCTGATACCAGAGTCCAGAAAGGTGCGTTTTTTCCCGAGGACAAAGGGAAGTTTGTGCTGGTTCAGTGCCGATTTTCAGGAAAAAAAGTTTATAAATTACTTGCGGACTGAACCAATGCAAACTGTAAGCCCTAGCATACCGGCTTCAGTTCCAGCATTATTTCGTTCACGCATAGAAGAAATAGCACATTGAAATTACGACTATATTCACCTGCGTGTGCGCAATTCTAGGAAAACCAAAATGGTAAACATTCAAATTGTTTACAACGCTGCTGAGCCAACAAATTTAGTGTACAGGGGTTCGCAACATTGATTAACAATAATTTTCAAAAATTATGAAAAAATTATGCGAATAAGAAACATTGCATCATAAGCGTGTTGTACTCTTTTTACATTGTTTTTTCGTTCCATCTACAGTCATATTTGAATATAATAAAACCGCCGCTTTGGCCAAACATGTTAGTTAATTTTACTTTCTGTCTTCTTTCTGCAGTTTCCACTCATACCCTTAGGCCCTGGGCAGAGCTCACGCGACGAAGTCGCGCGATCTCCAGTCGCGACAACTTGCATGAAAGTGGCGACTGGGACGCGACGACTGAGTCGCTCAGTCGCTGGAGGCGTGCATACCTCCGACGCGATTTCATGCAATTGCACAACACTTCACACATGCACGTACTCTAATTCATTACTGAAATTCAGTGCTCTCGTTGACTTTGCTACATCACTGTCATTCAAAAAAGGTGTAGCAGCAGACAAAGGAAGTCCGAAAGTTTATTACATTAGAATCCGACTTGATAACAATCACAACGTTATGCACCCAAAAGATCAACAATTAAAGAAGAAGTCGACGACATCGTGGTTCTGGTAAATGGCTCATAAGCAAATGACTGTTGGGAAGCATCAATTACGAACAGGGAAGAAGTACCAGCAAGCCCAGTGGCTGCGGACATTCCGAAAGAACTGTTACGCGGCAAAACGATGTTTTCAGCTCTACAAACGTCCCCATGTGCTGCACATGATAAACGAATATACTGTTATTACCTCATGCAAAGCTCATATTTCGAAGTTTGCTCCATACCATCGTCAGCGTAGACTGTGAGCACATTCTTAAACTATTCGATGCGCAATCGAACAGGGTAGGGCTTGTAATGGATCTTTTTGGCAGCCTAGGATATATGAGATGTAGGAAAATGTAGATGAAAGACATGAAAAGATTCAAAATGAGGACTAACTGCCTTCATCAAACAATGCAAGGATAGGCATAAATTGGCATTTACAACATTTCATGCAAAAAAGCTCATAATCCGAAGAAAAAACAACAACTTCAACAATAACACCGAAAATGCAGTTCAGCATCGGCGCTACGGTCGCCCCATCGCTCGCCGCAAACGAGCGACGCGACATCGCGCCGATTCGGCAAAATCGCGACGATATCGCCTGGCGAGCTATGAATGCCGAAAAGTGTGGCGCGATCCGTCGCGCCGCGCAGCCATCACAAACGCGTCGGGACCCACACACTAAGCAGCGTGGCGTGGAACACTTGTCCAAAATGATAGGGCGCGACGCGACGAAATCGCATGAGCTCTGCCCAGGGCCTTATATTAGGCTGTCCTGAAAGTTCTGTCGTCTCGTTTTTGAAAATTTGTAACTTTGCGCCATATCAACGGATTTGCATTCTCGTAATTATATTTGAAAGAGCAAGTCTTTCGCTTTCGAATGCTTTTCTTCTTAGCTTCTAATACACGCTGACTGCAGAGATAAAAATGGAAAAAGAAGACCATATAAACTTTTATCATTTTAAGTTGGGTCGCCAAAAGTCTGAAACGCTGCCAAAATCCGAAAATGTCAATACATAGATTTTTTGACCTACTCTTTGCAACACTGAAAAGTTTGTGCTGTGGCGTCTCTGTGAAAAGTTACGAATTTCAACTTTACTACAGAAAAGGCCAAAATTAATTGATTTGTCACTTTTCTCGAAAACCTTAACTTTTTACGGACACGTCCAGACAGCGCAAACTTTTCACAGTTGTAAAGAGTAGGTCAAAAAACTTATGACTTATATTTTCAGATTTTTTTTGCAGCGTTTCAGATTTTGGCGACCTAACTCAAAATGACCAAAGTTTATATGGTCTTCTTTTTCCCTTTTTACCTCTGCAGTCAGTGTGTATTAGAAGCCAGGAAGGAAAGCGTTCGAAAGCGAAAGACTTACTCTTTCAAATGTAATTATAAATATGCAAATTCGTTGAGATAGTCCAAAGTTACAAGTTTTCAAAAATGAAACGACAGAACTTTCGGAACAACCTAATAAATACCATAAACAAGGAGAACTTCGTTCAAAATTCCCTAGTGGCCACCTCGTCTTTGCTGATGCTACTATTTTACCTTTTTTGTGACTTTACCGAAAGATTAGGACTTTTTTATAGATTACATAAATATGCGTTATACAGGGTGTCCCAAAAAAATGTGAACACTGTTTGATCGTTAATAACTCCCTTGCTTTCATGTCTTTCGCCGAGCTTGAGACACTATTCTGTAGAGCGAGGTTCAACTTAGATTTGTGGTATGGTGCGAATCATCGACTGCTATTCATTACTGTAGGATTACGGTAGGAACTTTGACAAGGATTTTAGGCCATTGGAGGCCATATTTTCTGCCTCGGAACAAAACGAAACAAGCCAAAAGCTCTTATGCTATGGTAATGGAAGCCGCTGATTTTGAATATGAAATTTCCACTGTACTGTGACGCTTCTTTCCGAAGTTATCCCAGTTAAACCATAATAACAGAATTCCCAGCATTTGTCAAAAATGTGATTATCCCATCAAAAAAAGCTAAACACTCTCGTAAAAAGTTGTGTAATGGATTCAGCGTGCGCGAAAACCCTAGTACACGATTTTTCAGATTTTTTGGTAAAAAATTCATCAAATGGCATATTTTACAATGGATTCACACCCTGGAAGTTCCTACCGTAATCCAACAGTAGCGAAGGGAGATCGGAGTTTTGCTTCATACTGCAAATCTAAGTTAAACCTCGGTCTACGAAATGGTGCCCAAAGCTCGGCGAAAGACATGAAAGCAAGGGAGTTATTAACGATCAAACAGTGTTCACATTTTTTGGGACACTCTGTATAAGCAGCCTCTTCTAATGTGCTGAATTTTTCGTCCATAAAATGTGTTGGACTTATAAAAAATGAAAAATTGGTAACGTTTGCGTTCATTCGTACCATCTGTATGGCCTGCGGCAAAAAAGAAAGTTTTTTGCAAGATCATTGCTGTTAGGCAAAGTATGATTTTCGACCATTTCTTTGCAGGTTTTTTCGCTTTTCCGAAGAGAAGTAGTCTCTCATAGGAAAACAAGAGAAAGTATGACTTGCGTAAGAGGCGTTGTTTTTCACATAGTTAGCTACAAACTTCGTTGTGGCTGGAATGTACTCCGTACAGCTGATATGAAATTGCAATTTCCAAATACAATCTGGTATCAGAGTACAAGCAAGGTCCTTACTATAAAATTCTTCCATTACATGGAATAAAGAAATTGTAGCTTTCGAGGAAATCAAAAGTGATGTTGGTCAGAGTAGTTTTGTAGGTTATATTCGATATATTTTTTCCTAAGTACTAACAGCGCCTTTTTTCGTTTGTGAATTTTCTCATTATCAAGCTTTTTCAAAAAAAAAATGATAGGACCAGTGCTCGGCACAGGTGGCTTATAAGCAAGCTGAATATCGTTTTTGTGACAAAAAGCAAGGGGATGTCGTTTTCTGGCCGAAAAAACGCGGCGTTTTTTTAGTCGACGTTTCGGTTTTTAGGGCTTTTTGGGTTTAGTTTAGGGTTGAAGGGGCTTAGTAAATTTTAGAGGAAGTCAGGGGAGATTTCGTTTTTTGCATTTTTGGAAAGCCATTTCGTGCCGAGCTTTGAATAGGACAAAACTTGGTGAGCCAACTTAGCTTCATTTGAAATGCAAATCTCCATTCAAAAAATTCATAGCTTTTGGATTTCACCCTAGAAAAGCTGATTGTGTTGTTTTCTTATCATCTTCGATCATGTATATCAGAGTTCGAGTGAAACCCATCATCTAGTGATAATTGCCTTTGCATAATCTCACTGATCCTCAACCAGAATTGCTTACGCTCAAGAGCAAGGATTTATAAGTGAAATTCTCACCTGTTTACATTACCATGTAATCAAGCTATGCAAACGTTTCCCATGACACTGATACATTTTTTTCGTACGATCACATGATCGAATCTCGAAAAAAAAAATGCGGAAAAATAGCGAATCGTAGCTGTTCAGAAAGCACCTATGAACTCCTGCTTTCACGTCTGTTCAAAAATGTACCTATAAAATCACTCTTTTGAATTGAAAAAATGGGAACAGAAGTGTGTGCTATATTTGACTTTACCTTATGATTAAAGATAAAGTGTTTTGAAGAAACTTTATAAAAAGCTAGGAGCATTATATACTATTTCCTTCCTTTAGACGGATATCCGTCTGAATTATAAGTCTTTCTCAAAAATTAGCAAGGAGATAGACTTAGAAATTACAATTTATTACTTTTCCAAAATGTTTTGTGGTGGTTTTTTTTCTTGAAGCATTTACATTATGTTTTGCAAACTTACCGAATTTTCGTTGTTTTTCTACAAATCTCTGGAGGTGGAGGTTCTATACAAGCTTTTGCCTTCACATTTGCAGCTGTGGGGTTCAAAAGCAGTACGTGGCATTAGAATAAATAGGTTATGCTAAGTCCAATACTTTGAGATTTCTTTTTCTGTTAAATAACCGAGTGCACCCTGAGAATGTAAAATGCTCAACTTAGCTGTAATTTACACATGCTAAAGTTTTTGGGCAAATGTGTAAAAGCTGGCAACTGGTTGATCTCGCTATGAAATTCAACAAAATGATGTTGACACAGACGAAAACTAAGGTGATTTTGGCATTGCGACTAGACTAAAAGGTTTGGTTATTTTGCAGCGGTTGTTCGTGTAGAACGTAAGTGACATCAGAAACAGGGTAGATAATAAATAAACCAATATGTGGACGAGTAGACTAAATAAGGCGTTATACATGATGTATAAGGAGTTTTTTCTTTTCTTTAATCTTCTCTGATTTTTAATGCGCAAGTGCACAGCATTTGTCCTATATAGAGAATGAATGACAGCTTAGAAAATAAGAAATGGCTGTCAGAAGAATTGAAACTTCCACAGAACTTTCTTGCTGGAAAAAGCTATACTAAGATGTCATTAGGATTGTTGCTGAGAGAGAGTTGATTATAAAAGGTATAAGCGGCCATAACAACTGCGCACTCTTGGATAGCTCAGGTAACGCAAAACTAGAAATTGTTTGAATTGTCCGTATTTGCTCAATTCCTTCTCCTGTTCACTTGCTGTTTGAGCGAAATAAGGCAGTTGACCATTTTATCATCGGAGCTGGCAAAATTTACGGATGCAAAGGGCTTATAGCGCGCAATTAGTCCACTACACGAGCTACAAGCGTCTGGCATGTGACTGACTACTTCATGATTCGGAATTACTAGACTGCTTTCTGTTATCGTAATTATGTGTGAGCTACTTTTAGAAGGCAATACTTTGTTTCTTGGGTAACTGAAGTTGAATTTTCCTTCTCTGATAAATTGTCATTCCATACAATATTGGATGCGACTTTTACAAAGATCAAAAAATTAGATTGATAAATTAATTTACGAGATTTTATACAGAAAAGCACTCTTGTCTTCCTAGGGTTTTACTGCTGATACAAATGCCCCTGAATGGACGAAATTCCTAAAAGTATCCTACATGAATTATAAAACTGTGCAGGTGACTTATCTTTACCTACAAACAATAAAAATCACTCCAAAACTTCCAAAAATTCAAGCTAGCTTCGAAAAAAATTCTTTTTGAGATTTTTTTCTGAATTCCAAAGATAAAATATCGCAAAAAATTTCAAATCGTCCCAAAAAATTTTGTAGAGTACCATCATTGATTTATTCCTAAATCATAAATGGAAATCGGTTTGTGAATGATATACAATTGACCAGAAGGTCTTGCCGTTAGAGCTTACTGTAGGGTTACGTTAAGAAATCGTTAGTAAACATGGCTATTGATTATTCTATGTTGAAAACCTTTAAGCTTTTGAGAGTGGGCATTTGCGAATCAGCTACTGTTTCTTTCATGAAAAGTGGGCCATTTGAACATAGTTCTCACTGTTCAGGTCATTGAAGTATCAGAATTCAAGATGTTGCTCGAACTGTATGGACTTGAACCGTACTTTCGCCATTTCTATCAACGTCTCGTCTCCTGTTTTCTCACGCATGACGATAAATTTTGGTGAGCAAGTTTTCAAATCAATATAGGTCTCAGGTCAACTATGATTTCCAGCTTTTCCGCCTTTACTGCTTGCCTTGAACTGGTTCGGCCTCCACTGACTCAATCAGCTCCTTTGCCACCACCGACTCCACTCTGGACGAAGCCGTCGTTACCTGTGAACATCCGAGTTGGCTAGTTTTCGGGCATATATCTTACTAAATTCGCGTTTTAGCCCATAGCATCAGCGAAGGAGACGGTGAAAAAGAAATGAGGAAAATGTGTGAAGCAACTGTGCCTTCAACTGCTTTGCCGGTATTTCCAATTTTTCTTCAAGTGGAAGTTATAATGATCCCAGGAAAAATTGCTCGTAATAATTAGATTTTGTGAATTTGTGTGGAAAATATGCACTGGAAACTTCCTCTCTGCTATGTCCTCCTTTTCACATGAAAATTGTCGAATTTAATAGATATCCTGCAATTTTTTTGGTAATCTGTCAGACGTTCATAAGTTAATCACCAAAACGACAAAGTTTTTCATTATCTATTATGCTTTTCCAAAATTTCTGGAAATTTAGCTTTTCATGCCTTTGATGACACACTTCTCAATGTTTAATCTCAATTCTACTTTTCTCCTTTTACGTTATCTAGAACTTATCTAGAACGGGTGTATTTGTGATTTTGACAATCGATGTGTAGATGCTCAATAAAAATTTCTACTCAAAACTTTTTCCACAGCTCGTTTGAGCCTGAAGCCGACAAAAAGCCGACGATCATAAATTTCTTCGCAAAACACATCGTGACAGATGTGAATTGCGTTGGTTTCTGTTTGCAGGTGCAGCTGTTTTACACATTGCACCATGCTCAAATGCCCTCTTCTTCTTCTTGAGATTTCGGTTTTCGTGGTACAATCGCCGATTTCAGTTTTACAACTTGTTGAAATTTCTCTTTCTTCTTTTTCACTAGCTGTACGATTTCTGTTGCATCGATAGGTGCACGACTAATTGTAAGCTCATTGACCATTGATGGGCACAATGTTCTATGATCTCCAGCACTCATTTCTCATTCGGGCAAAAAAAGATGCAATTACCTTGAGTAAATGAGTTACCTGGTACGGGGCTATAAAAACTGAAGTCATTAGCAGCCATACATCGAAGCGATATCCAGATCAATAAGTTCTTTCAAAGCAGGGAGATTCCGTATTTTTGAGATTTCACACGCACACGAAGAAAGAAGGCAAAATCCTGGATAGAAAAGTAAAGATTCAATGGCCCATTCAAAGTGGTGCCTTCCTCAAAAATAGCGCTTTTCTTTCTGTCTTACTCTAAGCAACATGTGGCAAGACAATAGCTATCAAATTTCCGCATGTTTCTTGTTGTAGAACAAGAAAAAGAGTGGGATTTTAAGTGCAGCTTTCTTCCAATGACGAGTATAATATTAGATGACATTTCATTGATTGAGTTGTGAAAAAGTACTTTGTCTGTTTGTTTGCAACCTGTAAAAAAATCCTGTACAAAGCTTGAGTTGATTACTGATCAACAATGCAAAGTTAATGCACAATTTTCACACCAAACAAAAAGAATAATTTTTTTGATAAATGCTAACAAGCTAATCAATTTGAGCAATATGTTCTTTGTTATGTAAACGAAAGTATTCAATGATACATTTTAGAAAATTTGTCTGAAACAAAATCAATAAGTCGAGTTTGAAAAATCGAAATTGACAACTATTCGTAGAGAAGTCCAATCACTAACAAATTATTTCAGAATAGGTCATGTATCAATGACTAAAAAATATTTCCATCTTAATAGATAGATGTTAGCAGTTTTAGCAACCAAAATTCGAAAACCGCTTTTTGGTATCTCTCTTAATCAGTTTGTGTCGTTGCCATACACCAACAAAGAGTTCTGATTCAAGTACAAGCAAAAAGCACAACATATCCTCACTCTAACATTCGCTAAACAAAGAAAATTTATGGAAGCTGGAGAAAGTAACGGAAGCTCAAAAATTTTGGTGCTAGAGTTATGCACCAACCTAATATTTGGTTGCCGTGCCTTTCCATAAAGGGATAGATACGTGCAACTTGGTTACTAATTTCGAATCTGTTCACCAACTGAGTGCACAGAAATAAGTTATGAACTTTTTTGCTCAGCTTTACAAGATTAATGTTACTCGGTCTTGTAAAGCTTGTTTTGATTTACAGTTAGGCATGTTATCCAAGCTCACTGTTCTGAGAAGCGAACAAATCAAACACTTGAAAGATATCCGTAGTTTTGCTTAGCAAGAGCAAAGCAAGTTTTGCCGATTCAAACGTTTATAACTTTTTTTTCGCGAAAATGCTCAACAGTTACCGAAAGCAGAATTGGAATCAGTGTTTCAAAACAGGCTAAGTGACATGAATCTATTTGCCAAAGACGAAAATCACCATGTATCCTTTCCTTGTAAAAGTTCGATATCCATGAAATGTGTTGAACCATTAATAAAGTATTAGGTTGTCCCGAAAGTTTTGTCCGTTTGCATCGCTCACTATAACGCGCAGAACACCAATCCTTTGTCGAATTAGGTACCGTTTGATTCAAGTTTTTATCCTCTTTGCTATAGCTACATTTACTTTCTGATCTACTTTGCATTTGCAATGTTATCGTCATGGCTTTTCAAGCAGCTCAGCAGTTACGCCAAATCTTTCCTGAATTTAAATTTTTAATTTGCGTTTTTTAAAGTGCGTTGCTGATGTTTTCAAAGAGCTTTGTAACTGTTATGTGAAGCAAACATTTGGCTACATTGTACCAATTTTAGATCACACAACACGTTTGCGTAAAGTTATAATTGTTTATTCAATAAAAACCGCTGCTTTTTGATTACGTTTACCACGTAAAAATACCGAAAATTCCCAAAAGCTGCTTTTTTGAAGCGAATCAAACTTGGTAATGTTGTATAAATAATGTTTAATAAGAGTCAGGTAATGTTGTATAAATAATGTTTAATAAGAGTCATGTTTTGATTCGCAGAAACTTCAAAAGCTTTCGTGTATTTTCTGCAATTCAGTGTTTTATAACTTGGCCAAAAATCGAGATCTCAGAAGAAATAGTTTTTGAAACCAAAGACAGCAAATAAAAAAAATCTAAACATATCACCTTGTAGTCCGAGAATTGCTCTATTTGCTGCATACTTTAACCTTTCTGAAACTTCGGAACGAAATCTCTAAAAATTGGCCTAACTTTGAGCAGAAAATTGGCGAGTAGAGATTTTTGGCAATTTTCAAAAGAAGTATACAAGATTGTGGTCCGAAAATGTATCCTAAAAAAGAGAATGAAAAGCTGCAATGAAAGCATTTTGAAACTCATTCAGGACTTTATTGTGCGTGGTTTCATAATGGTTTGAAAAAACGGACAAAATTTTCGGGACAACCTTGTAGCAATTTTTAGTTTTTCCACTTGAGATGATTTCAAAAAAAAACACCTAAACTCACTTTTTGAAATTGGTTGCAACTTCAGAATTAGAATTTCAAAAAAAAATTGTGTCTTCTTGGTAGATCTGAGCATAGTTCGATTCTTTACCTTGAAATGTGTTGCAGTCATCTAACCTCTGGAATGTGAGTTCAAGAATTCTTCATTTCATGTCTTCGTAGTTCTCAGCATAGCTTGATGATAATTATTTGATGAAATCATATGAGAATATAGTCTTGTAAAAACGTTAATTAAGCAACGCACTTCGTGACTTTTCAAGCGATTGCACAGATGTAGAGCAGTTTCGCCTTACTTGGTATCTTTTTAGAAACATTGGAGGTATTTTGTAGTTGCAAAGTACAAAATTTTCATTAATATTCCCGCGAATGTTTCGCAGAATTACCTGCAGCAATCTAATCGAAAGTAGTGTAGGTGACTTATTTTTTTCTCGCCCACACAACTTGTTGATCTTGCTTTCTCTCAGTGGAACTAACAAATGAGATTGCCAAGCGTGTTGCGTAGGAGTCGCTTCATCCTTAGTTACTTTGAATTTAGACTAACGAGCTGGGAATAAGACTTAATTGCAGTTCGCACGCAGGTGTATGCTGTGATCTCCGAGGATGAACGACCATAACCCGTTGATGCAGTCCACGACTAGTGTGACACCATCAACCGTCATTCGACGTTATGAGAATGGAGGTGAGCATAAACAGCTGCCATGCATCGAGCTTATGGAAATGTTATGCTCTTGTAGGTGGGATTTATCGCAAAATGATAGTTGTTGGCTTTTGTCCGTTTCTTATCAACAGGGGGAAATTTTTTGGAAGTTAAAAAACTGTTAATGTTTGAAAAAGCAGCTGGCTACTTCACCTTTGGAGTAACCAGAATGCAGACCAGAGTTGAGCGAGAGTCAGACACAAGTCCTCCATAAAGACCGAGGTGTTTGGCTCCAACTCTAACACGAAACGCGCAAGCTATAAGCTATTCATTCCAAGAATGAAGCGATCCCTGAATTCTGAAAATAAGTTATGAGTGTTGCGCACAAGACTACAAAAGCTCAGGCAGCCTTACCTTTCAAGGAGTTGTGCCTGACCCTAAATTTTATCTCCGAAGAAGCTCCATCCAAGTTCTATGTGATTAACTAGCACAATAGGCCCCGGTCAGACTTCACGCGACTTAATCGTCGCGATCTAATCGCCAAGATTTCCATTCATTTTCATTTCACATTCAAAAATGTCGGCCTGAAAAAGTATCACAACCGAATGCAAGTTGATCGGCATGGAATGATGTTGTAACAGTTGTCTCGTCGCGACTCAGTCGCGACGATCAAATCGCGTGAAGTCTGCCCGGAGACATACTCAAAGACTCTCCGAAAGGTGTTTGAACTTGCCTTGATTCTCGGCTTTGTGGTGATCCGTGGAGTTGAAGCGCTCAAGCTGGAAAAAGCCGTGGTTAAAGTTTTGGCAGCACTTCTTAATCCACTGTATGGAAACCATATGAAGCTAACTAGCATAGACTGATAGAAAGTATTTCTCTGTTATGAGTATATAAAAGCTGACTTCTTTCAGTTTTGGAACGTTAATCATGTTTGAAAACCGCGCTTATTAGACGTCAGAAAACGGTAGGAAATGAATAGGTAATGGTTTGTAGAGCTCGTAGAGGTAGTTTGACCTTCTGATTACGGAAATCATACACAATTATGCAGTAAGTTTCTTTGGTGACCTTACAGTATGTGTAAGGTTAGAGATGGAAAACTGAAATTTGGATGAGACTTCGATAGTGGAGTTAATCAGTATGTTCACGTCATAGTTTTGGTGGAGTTGTGATATAACACCGATCTTGCGCTTTTTTTCATCTTACTCGATCGTAGTACTTCCCCAATTTTTGAATTCAAATTCGATTCTTGACTGCTCCCCCCCTCCTCCCCTCTTACCTACCACCCTACGGGCCAGACACACTTGACCCCACGCACAACCCTGGTGCAGACCATGTAGGTAAGGTGACTGGTAAGTTTAGGGTCCAGGACAGGCGTGTTGAGATAAACCGGACCCTCTCTTACGCCAGCCTCCACCTTGAAGGTGGCCCGTGGGAACTCCCCCCCCCCCCCCCATTTTCAAGCTTTTGCACCTGTCATAGATTATCTAAATAATCTACAACTATTATGATTGTAGATTCATCATGTAAATTATATTCACTCTCTATTAGCTTGTCGTTGACTTACCGTTCATTGACCATTAAGCCGCCAGGTAGTAGACTACCATGCACTTCATTCTTTCATGTAGGCAATCCTTGATTCTGTATGATACTGTTGTCAGAAATGAGCATATCGATTATCCACGCTCAAAGCAGTGTCATAAAAGGGCCTAAATACTCAGTTCTGGTGCTGGTTTGATATATTACCACTATCGCCAGCGGCTGTTCTGCATATTCACTGTTGATAATCAGCGGCTGCTCCACTACTATCTAATAAGCAGTTATACAACGTAGTGGTACCAGCTTAGTGTATCTCAGATGTCATTGGACCTTGATTAGAAATCATATGTCAGAGAAATAAATACTCACAAATGGGGAGATAATGCAAGTGATGTTTGGTTGTACGAAACCTCCCAATGGAATCTGCGTAGTTAAGTAATTGGGGAAGCTAAATTAAGTAGCTGATTTACAAACAAGAAATGAAATAAAATAATAAAAAAATTCAGGTACACAGCAATCCACTTCAGCTGTTACTTTTTTCATAATAATTTATTTCTAATGACAGATAAGTAATTTTTTTGCGTCAAGAGTGTATGGCATAGCTCATTTATGCTTGAATTACTAAAGACATTCATTACTGTTCGGAAAATAAGAATGATTAAGACTATAAAGATTTTGTGTTCGATTCCCGTCTGCGACACCATTTTTGCAGGGAAAAAATGTTTTTGAAATACGGTTTGTGACTTGGAAATTCACTTTCTATTTTTCGCACAGAACTTTTCACAACAAAACCATTAGCACCAACAACGATGTCAAAACCGTGCATGAGCACGGTGTTTCAAAAATTCACAACTAAAGTCAGAGAAAGACTGGGAGGCTGGAACAAGTTTTGTAGTGGAGTGGCAGGACAATTGAAAAAAAGTTGCGGCCATTTAAATGCAGCTAGCTCCAGAAATTCAAACGCGGCTTTGGCATATTTAGAATCCTAAACCGAAAAGAGAGATTTCAAGTTTGAAATTTTGTTATCTATCGGAGACGCAATGAACGTCCGGAAATTTTCCAGAAAGTAGGTTAAATTGTAGAGCCATATGAAAAACAACACAAAAGTAGCAAATTATTGATCGTTCTCGTTGGTAAAGACAGCGCTTTTTTCGAGTGTGTGAGACTTCAGTGAGGCTGCGGAAGCAGAACTTCTAAGCCAATTGGTGCATGCATTTTCTTTACCGCGCAAACATGCCTTCGGTAGTGCATGAGTTTTTGAAACTGTTTTGTGTTGTGACTTTTAACATTTCATAATTTTATTGTAAAGAAGAACATGTAATAATGTTTGCTATGTAATATTCATTTGAGCTTACCGGGCACCGTCCACCCAGATTTACGACTTCCACGTTTTTGTCGTTTCAGGGCCTTCTGTTGTCCCTGATTCCGAATATGAAGTCGAGAATGCTCAAGAATCCCGATAATCCCCGTTTCGGGGAATTCACAGGCCGGCATTCCGGAACGGTGATTGGATGGGCGCGCACAAATGGGCGGGCATGGATGAGGGTCCTCGTGCATCTTCGCTATTCCGGAGTTATTTTCTCGCTTCCGAAGCGGCATTTTGCGCCGCGAAATTTGGGAATTGGATTAATGCCCTATTATTACAATAACGCTTACAAAATTTCCGTGAATGTCGCAGAATTCCGGGAATTCCGCGAAGGTCGGCGAAATTCCGGGAATTTCGCGACATTCCCGGAATTTCGCGAAATTCATGTAAATCACGCAAATTACGCAGGGCCATAACTTCTTTCCATTGTATTCAGCTCGTCAAGGCGAATCTTCTGGTATACAGCATGAACTTGAAATTCGGTTTCCAATTTTTTCAAAATTTTCTGCGCGCGTATATTCGCAAGGTCGCAACGCAGCGCACATCAAACATAAAAGACTCCAATAAGCACTATTTGATTGTGATGCTTCCGCAGATTACCGAGCGCTAAAAACGAACCAAAGAATCTTTTTCAAAAAAGACAGAAGAGCTGGTGAATTCTGGAGAAATCGTGTTGTCTCAAATTTTGCCCATTGTAACCCTAGGGAAGCTCTCCTGCTAAGCAGATGTGATTTTCGTAATCAGCAGGTCAGGTAACCTCTATGAGCAAGTTTTCAAAGAAATTCGGGTGATTTGATTTTTTTCTCGTTCTACGCCCTGCGCTCGCCGATGAGTTTTGGTCCAAATGTCGATGATCTTGGATTATAAGGAAACTTCGCTCAAAGAGGTTATCTGACCTGCTGATTACGAAAATCATATCTGCTTAGCAGGAGAGCTTCCCATTTTAGGGTTACAGTGGGCAAAATTTGAGACAACACGATTTTTCCAGAGTTCACCAGCTCTTCTATCCTTTTTGAAAAAGATTCTTTGGTTCGTTTTTAGCGCTCTGTAATCTGCGGAAGCATTACAATCCAATAGTGCTTATTGGAGTCTTTTATGTTTGATGTGCGCTGCGTTGCGACCTTGCGAATATACGCGCGCAAAAAATTTTGAAAAAATTGGAAACCGAATTTCAAGGACATGCTGTATACCGGAAGATTCGCCTTGACAAGCTGAATACAATGCTGTTCGGATTTCGAAGATGTTCATTCTGGAGGAAGTTACGGCTAGTAGAACTTGGAACAGCTTGATTTTTCCAGAGTTTATCAGCTCTTCTATCTCTTTTGAAAGAGAGTCTTCGGCTGCTGTTTAGCGCAAAATAATCTACTGAAAGAGTACTATCGAAGGGTGCCCGTCGCAGTCTCCTCTGTGTGACGCTCGTTGCATTAGACCCACGCGAAAAGGCGTCCGCATGCAAATTCAAGATTACTGAAAAAAGGATATTGGAGACAACCTGTACAGCAAAAGATTCACCTTGACGAGCTGAATACAATGCTGCTTTCGGATTTTAAATATACTCATTCGGAAAGGTTATGGCCCTGCGTAATTTGCGTGATTTACATGAATTTCGCGATTCCGGGAATGTCGCGAGATTCGCGGAATTCTGCGACATTCACGGAAATTTTGCACATTCTGTGAGCGGTATTGTACATGCCGCCAAAAGCTCAACACTCTCAGCTTAAGGTGGAAGGTGCCTTTAAGGTATCCGAATTCTCGAATAACGCTTCACATCCTCGTTCCGACAGTCACATCACATCTTGAGTCTGGTTCGTACCTTTTATGAATCGTCGTCATTTGACTTAATATGCACATTGCAAGACATCGCGCAACTTAACGGCTTCTAAAATTGGACCTGGCCATTTATATCTAATTTCCCTTTTTTCCTGGCCTTTTTGGTTCGATTCTGTATGTATTTAATAGCAGTGCAGGTTGTTACCCCAGATTAGGTCTTAATGGGAGTCACTAGTAAGGATGTCGTGGGCTCCTGCGCATAGTGTATAGACTACATACAGATAAGTTACAAATGACCTGATTAAGAGTCTGCGTCAACAACTGCCCGCTTTCCGATCAGCTCGACGCAACGCTAGATTTTTGCGCCTCGTTCTCAGGCACGCTCCTTGAAGGGACAATTCTGCCGCATCAATAGGAGATCGCTGCACAATGGAAAGGAAACTATTTGTCGCCGATTGGCTCCATTCCTTGTGGGCAGCTGATACAAATCCGTAATGTCTATAATGTGTGGAGGTGCGTGCTTTATCGCATGACCGAGTGGGACCATCTTCTTCCGGCGACGTGTAGTCCTCCGCCCCTGCGCCATACTCACATCCCGCAAGTGCATGGTTGTTACGGAAAAGGGAGCATGTGTTTGACAGACACAGTACCTGTTTACGATATGATCGTTATTGCTGCTCGATGGTAAAGGCTGCACGACGAAGACGCAAGAGCAGTTTTGGTTGAGCGGGTGCGAACGCGGCGCGCGCGTACCTACACCGTTGTAGGCCTTGCCTCTCATGCGCTCTGTGGCTAACAAAGCCGCGTTTTCGCTCAAAGCTATTGCGCAATGACATGCAGTAACCTATAAAGACTTACTTCATTCTATGATAACAGCGAGGGATGGGAGGCGTAGTGGTACGAGGCGCCGCTGACCAGGTCGAACGCAGGTTCGACAATCATCCTGGGCCAAAGTCCTCTACTCTTTGGCCGGGAAAATGATGGTAGAGTGCGTTAGGCATGCTCGTAAAAGGTACTAGTTACGCTAAATTCTTTATCTTTTTTTCATGATGGAAGCAGTTTGCTGCTATGCATTTCCAGTGTCAGTGATTCTAGTCCTAATATGGTTCATTCTCAAAATCGTGACGACGAGCTTGACTGCGGTCTTTGCGCGCACATGAGCATAAAACACCATATAGATATGCACCACCTCAATGTTCAGCTTCACTTTCATTGTCTAAATACTATCACATGTAAGCAGAAAAACCATTCGAGTAAAGATAGACCAAACAATGGAAGTGCGTGCGTGTCGCGCGCGGTCGCTCCATCGTCACGATTTTTCAAATGCCCTATAATTGCTAACTTTAGATCCTTTGGAAACACTTGCACGAGAGTGGTCTTGTGCTTCATGCGCATGTGTGTTGGGTGTCGTTCATCTCTCTTTCGGCGTGACACTCACAGTAGGTGTCGGTTCAGGCCCATCAATGTACATAAATGGGATATGTGACACCCTGTTTCAGCTCATCGACATGATTACAACTACAGTGTCTAATACACCATTCGCCATATCAGCAGCAATCGTATACATCATTACTGCGATCCTTTGCTTCATAGCAACAGGGTAAGTGTAATTGCACAAGTAATGGGAAAAAACAGTTACTCGCGATTTTTTTATTTGCTATCGGTCAAGCTCTACATTTTCAGACGTGTTGATCGCTGCACACAGTTTATGCTCGTGATATTCTCCTTAGCAGGACTTGCCATATCATGTGCCATTTTTGTGGATAGCGCCATCGTTCTCAATTCCACGTGCACTCCAACAAACTACGACGAGAACGAATTAGTTGTACATTCAATGATGGTCATTATCTGTTTGACCGAACGTGAGTCCCCAAACTTCAGTTTGACAGAAGACCGTTTTGAGCGCAATTCCCGAACAGATCGTTCCTCTTAAGTTGTGTGCTGCGCTAACGCGAACATGAGCTGCACAGCTTGATCAGCAGTTGCAATCAGATCCACAGAAGTAAACTAAAGCATCGCTCAACAATTGAACATACAGGGCTTATCAGTCGCAGAGTCAGGTGCACCAGCATCTCCAGTCACGTGGCCACCTTTGATGGACTTTGCAACTCTACTTGAACATGCTCTCTTATTACTTTCTCCCACCACGAGCGTTGAAAAGGCAGGGCTTCAATGCCTAATTGAGCGTACGAGAATAATTAGAGAGCATGTTCGCGAGAGAGGTGCAGACTCCAGGCGATACGGCCATGCGGAGGCGGAGACGCTAGTGCATCGGACTCTGCAATTGATAAACCTGTAGCTGCTGTCCTGATACGATGCTCGCGCTTGTGCTATGCTACCTAACGCTACTGCTTTGTGAAATGTCAGAACGTGCATTATTTTCGACACTGGTAAACATTACTTTAACTATCACTTGCTGGGTTTCCTTCTAATGGCTTAGTCAGGGGCAAAAGGTACTCATCAACGTTCATAAACTTTCTCATTGCATTTGAGAAGGGAGGTCAGTGCGCGGGGCATTATGTGAGGGCGAGAATTCTACTGTGGGGGCGAGAAAATTCTACACCGTTCAATGACAAGAAATGGTAGAGCAGTTGATTTTCAATGCGGCCACGCAATGGGACCAGATTTATGCTCAACGGCGAAAAAAGCCGAGAATAGGCCTAATGTAAGATACGAGCGAATTTCATTCAAACGCCTTGAGCGTTACCACCGTTCATTTAAGAGCATCTCTAATAGCACCACACTGAAAAAATTCATCAAAAACAGCCTCACAAGAAATCCTCACTATAGAGATATTTCGCTCTGGATTTATTCCCTGCTGATTGCGAAGATGGGCTTGGAGAGAGCGAAAATGTCGAAAACGGTTTCCTTTCTAAAGGTGTTGAACATGATTTTGGATGTAGATCCTAGCCAGCTGAGAATGGCGTGCAAAGTCATTGTACGACCCTATGGTGGTGACTCTGTGCGTATGCACACTATATTAGTGGGAATTCGATGAGATACGATTTCCCACAAATGGAACAAAGGAACTTGCAAAATGCTTTCGTAAAAAATTTTGCATCTAAACACAACGCGCAACGTTTGGCTCAGGAATCCACTAACTACTTTGTCGAGGCCTGTTCTCGCAGCTCTATATATTTCACCGCTTAGTGTTTACTTTCTAATTTTCCAAGTTCCAGTTCTCACCTGCTTCTGCACAATGCTCGTCTGCTTCCGCTCACTGCGTGGGGCAGTAGCCGTCTCGAAAGCATATTCTCCTTATAGCACACTGATAGTCGGCGACTATTCGACACTGAAACGGCCGGAACGTATACTCAGGCCAAAATTTGCTTATCTGCCTCGTCGAGCAGCACAATTATTGCAGTGATCTCTGTTTCTAGCTTTTTGTCAAAAGAAATAAGGATTACCCTGTTTTCTGCCTACATATCAAGTATCGCTGAGACGAATCATTACTTATGCAAACGCAATAAATAGTACTTCCACTTCTATCATTCTGCGTATCACGATGAAAAGAGTCTGCTTACATGCATCATATGTTACACATGTTGTCCCGCAAAACGTATAGGGCTTATTAAACGCAGTGTCGTTTGCGTGCATCTCCACTCTCCGTACTGTGCTTCTCTTCCGCGAACATGCTCTCTAATCACTTCTAATTGATTTAGGCCCCGCCTTTCCCACTTTCGCCCTGGGAAAGTAATCAGAGAGCATGTTCGCGCAAGAGACGCATAGTCTAGCGCGGGAGTGGAGATGCTGATGGAAACGACACTGTGTTTGATAAGCCGTGTACAAAATGTCCGAAAGCAAATTACTCTTTTGCACAAAGTATTTCGCAAATCTTCAGGCATCGTGTTGCTCAGCTGTCGAAGACGGCGTCCACCTAAAATCTATGATACTTAGATAACTACTAGATGGCAAACCCGGCTCCGCCCGGGACCAAACTTTGCACACATACACTTCGGGGCAGGGAGCGTGTCATAGGCTACTTTTCGTTATCGATCGATATCGATTTTACCGATTTTTTGCAAAATTTGAGCTAGGGGGCTAAGATTTTGCACAGGGGGGGGGGTAATCGAGCATGCTGATCAACCCCTCCGGGGTGATCAGCATGCTCGATTACCCCCCCCTGTGCAAAATCTTAGCCCCCTAGCTCAAATTTTGCAAAAAATCGGTAAAATCGATATCGATCGATAACGAAAAGTAGCCTATGACACGCTCCCTGCCCCGAAGTATATGTGTGCCAAGTTTGGTCCGAATCGGTTCAGAAATAAAAATTTCTATTCCGCACATACGTAGAGACATACAGACAGACATACAGACAGACAGACATACAGACATTCAGCTTTATATATAAGATACAGTGTATATGTAGGCTCTAGAAGAACATCAACAGTGCTGAGCCGTTCTTCTAATGTCGTCTCCAAGAGAAAACGGACATGCAGGTCGCTGGATCTACCAGCGCTCCACCCATCCACGGATTGCCTGCTGACGCGTGGACATGGGAAGAAACATCAAGACGTATACTATGTGATGTGGCACTGCTGCATACGATGTGACTAGCGCCGAAGCACTCGTCAACGTCTGCCAGAGATAGGGCTTCAGAAAGGGACCATTTTGGGGCTTTTTCAATTTGTATTCCGACATGAGGACCATGGAAAGGTCCGGTAACGATAAAAACATGAAAGTCAAAATTTTGGTGGATGCCGCCTTTAAATTAGGACGAATCATCAATTGTTTTCCGTTACTGTGGAATTACAATGCTTACCAATGCAAAAACTCAAGCGGTTAAAGTTACATAGAGTACACTTTGAGACTCTTCGCATTTTTAGCATAATAGCTGCTGCCGTTTATTTTGGTGCCGTCTATTGAAAAAATCTTCTGATCTCGTTTGCAGAAAAGCAAATATGCTGATGTCAAAAACCCTCAGGGTTGGGTCAGACTGCGCGGCGTAAGCGGCGCACTCTGACTCAACACTCAAAAGGCTTCCCGCAGAGTTTATCTTATAGTCGAAAATCAAATAACACGATTACAACGATCCCAATCTGGAGACAAAGGATGTGTTCCATGAAGTCAAAAAACATCTTCTAGCATGTTACCTTGTCCTAAAATTAGTGGTGCAAATGTGATGAGCCACAGCCGCAACGTAAACACAAGTATGCAAATTACAGTGTTGGATATAGCCCGGTCAGCTCTACAACACCTGCTTGCTAAAAAGAAGTCGTGGTCTATCTCAATTTGATAGCTAAAGTCATAACATATTCGCTTTTCGGTCCTTTGATCAGAATTCAGTTTAGTTGAGATATGCAATCACCTCAAAGTCGGATTTCTCTGATAAAACCCGCGAGTCTCCCACTTGGTCATAATATAGTAGACACAAAGTGAAATGCTCAAAGCAGATGCTGGTTCTCTCGAGTCTAGAATTCTCATCAACAAAAATGCTTGATTTGCAAAAATGTATCCTTTTTTTAGCCTTTGGGGCTAGATATGATTTGGTGGCATGTAATTCTAACGTACAAATTGTAGAGTACAACTAAACTAACTCGTGTTTCTGTTCGCTGATATAGGTTTGCAAAAAAAAAACAGAAAACTCTATTATGGGTGTTTGTGTGCGCACTTTATATGCTGATGATGTCAGAAGTTGGATGCGGTGCAGGAGGAACCAAAGGCAGCCGCCTGTAGCCGTAGGAGACAATTAGGAGCGCGAGCATTGTGGGGAAGATTTTGGCGAGGATCCAGGAAAACTTGGCGAGGACATCTATTGGAAACAACCTATATAACTCTTCTTGGAAGTAACTTTCAGAATTACGAAGGACAGATTTGGAATCAGTATTGCACTGCGCATTTTTCAGTAATACTCCTACCGGATAGATAAACAACTTTGTCTCGCTACCCGAGTTTTATTTTAACCAAAAACTGAGTCTTCAAAATTCACCATTAAAAGCTGAGGAATTTCAAGTCCAATGTTGTGTGAAAGATTTGAGTGATTTTTCAAGTGCAATTCCTGAATTTGAAGTGTAGGGAGCAGTAATCAGGAAATAGTTATCTAAGCTGCATGTGGTGAAATTTGCTATTGTGTTCGACCTCGAAAGGATTACTAACCTAGTTTCAACTGCAAATCCTAGGAGTCCACTAAAATTTAGAACTAAATTAGTTTTGAAGTAATGAGACAAACTGCATAGTGCATCCTGACACAAACCTCTAAATGTGTTTTTATGACATTTTGATGGCTTTGGTTCATTGACTCAATAAGCAAACTATTCCCTTATCTCCAAGAAAAAAAAAGAATGAATCATGGATGAAAACCCCAGACTTCAAGCACTTGAAACTTCAAATTCATAAAACAAAAAATTTCTACAAGGAAGTTGACTTTTGTTACCTCTACAGTTCCGAAACTTACTTTTAGGCCCACTTAATGAGCCTTCCAATTAGCATTGAAAATCTGTTTTTCAAAAATTTCAAACTCATCTCCAGGCAAAATTATGAAGATTTGTTCCTAAAGAATGTAATTGCCAAATTTTCTTGGATCCTTGCCAAAATATTCTCCATAGCGCTCTCGCTCTTAATTATCTCTTGCGGATACAGGCGGCAGCCCTTTGGTTCCTCCTGCACCACCCCCCAGAAGTTCGTAGACTTTTTCTAGGCTTAGACCCATTTTTGAGGCGCTCTATGTTTGTAAACTTTGGTTTCAAACTTTATGGGTTATTTTACGCAGAGTAGTGGTGATCAATCTGTACACCATGCTTTGCTCTATCGAATAGCTCTCATGCACTTTGGATTTTAACACTGCAGCTGTAGCAGAATAAACTCAATATTTTAGTTTAGCTCGATCTTGACAATTGCCTCCTGAAGTTGGACAATGAGAGATCAAAATTATGGAGCAACCTAACAGTTGCAATGTGATAAACTTGATCAAATGGCATACAATAGTAGCACCAAACCCATTGCAGTAGAACTTTTATATCCCCATTTTTTCAAGAAGCAAAAAAAAATTATACCCTTACTGTCATGAATAACAAAAGATGTTTACAAACATATTGATCAATTGAGGATAAAAACACCTCTACTCATGACCTAATATACAGTGGAAACGGAAACACGTTTTTTTTTCGCAGATCTAATCGAGTTGTTCATTAACATACCGCACAAAGTATTTCTGAGCAATCTTAAAGCAATACAATACTAAAAACATGCAAAAATTGCAGATAGTGAATATATAACGCAAACAAAAATAAACAAAAATAACACAAAACACACAAATGATCAAAAATTAATGAAGGTGTCTACGAAAATTATAGAACTCCTAGACTATATTCTAAGTAACAATTATCATAGAGCTGTGGCCGTATTCATCAACGAACCCTGAGGGTTAAACTAACCCTGCAGCGTTAATTTAACCCTGGAGAGCGATTAACTCGTATTCATGAAACACAGGGTAAGCTTAACCCTGAGGGTTAAATCTAACCTTGAGGGTTAATTTTACCCCGAAAGCGACTAACCCGTATTCATCAACGAATAGTGAGGGTTAAACTAACCCTGGAGGGTTAAACTTACGTGATTCATCAGGGTTAATTTAACCCTAGCTTAGAGCAAGGTTAACTCTACCCTGACACTTCATACAAACATTTACTCGCATCTAATAGTTTTATAAAAAGCGATCAACGAGTATTGTAGTATTCAGCATTAGATTGTTGTTATACTGTTTAGGTTCGACTTGTTCAAATTCAATCATGTTCAAATTCGAAGTACATGAAACTGAGTTCGCGAGAAAAAGAATTCTAGCTTTGGTGACAAATGAATGCGACTAGGAAAAATGGTTGCGCATTCCACTTTGACAAGTGCTAAAACAGAGGAACCACTTTATGATAACACGCACTGACCCCTAAAAGAGTAGCACAAGCCCGGTATAAAACGAACTGCGCAAAAATAGAACTTACACGACACAATTGCACACATGAAAATAAACTCACGCTGTAAGTTTGGATGCTGCACAAATATGCTAGAGATGTATTATAAAAACTAGTGTTAGAAGCTTATTCGTTGATTATACTACTATAACAGTGCAAGAATGGAAGTATAAAGTGATTTTAGCACGTACTTAGGCATTCTGTGATGTGAGTTTGCACAGCGCACGCGTAACTGACGCTTTTATCCTCAGGGTTAGTTTAACCCTCAGGGTTCGTTGATGAATACGGCCACTGGACACTCAATTTTTCGTCAAATCACCGAAGTACACAAGGAGGTAATGTTAGCCCTATCATTGCTGATCTTACGCTATCATGTTTAGATAAATATAGTACACCAACAACAGCAAGACCATTTTAGACATTTCAAACTCAGTCTACACTAATATTTTAAAGATAGAATTCACAAAGAGTACACCATATTTGCAATTTCCTTGATCTGAACATCAAAAATATAGATAATGTTGTAGTCACGAAACAATATTGTAAAACGAAAGATTTCAATCTTGAAGTCGAGTGGATTTTGTCACGGAAACTCATATCTAAGTGATAGTTTGAAAATAGCTATCATTAATACAGATGCCTTAGGAATTTGCAGAAGGGGAGTTTATACAACGATTTCGAAAATAGACTGATTAAATGCATTTCTACTTTTCTGAAACTACAAAAAGGAGTTGGTTAAACATGCTATAATCAAATGCTTTACGTACACCAAAACCAGTTGCCATATGTAAAGCCAATGAAGTCACTATGAATAAGCGCGATCACTTGGAAAATGTCAAAAACATTAAAAGGTTAGTTAATCACTCAGCGAGAATGTGCGAAACATCCATTGTCACTGAAAAAGCAGATGTTTGGTTGATCAAATTTTTGTATACAAGGAATCTTCAAAGAAAGAATACTGAGAGTTCAACGTAGCAAAAGCAAACATCCTCCAGATAATTACTTCAAAATCGTAAATAAGTCCGCCAAATGGTGGATTTTTGACAAAAAATAAGATGGTTTCCGCCCTTACTTCGCGAGAGGAGCAAAAGATGAGGCCGATTCGAGACTGCTCTGAAGTGTTAAGGCGAGGATTAAAACAAAAAATTGTAAAAACCAAAATCTATCTAGTAACTACGTTTTACACCGTTGGGAAGAGCCCCCAGATTTCGAGCCATATGCGGAAAGTCCTATCTTCTGCATACAGTCATATCTTCTTCTGTGGTTTGCAATAGCTACATGATTTTAATAGAAAATCTATGCTTTCATACGTCCGAACATATTTACAAGATACTAGTTGGCATACCCGGCTCCGCCCGGGCCTGTCATTATTATATTCGTAATCAGCATGCTCGATTACCCCCCTATGCCAACTCCCAGCCCTGTAGCTCAAATTTTGCAAAAAATCGATAAAATCGATATCGATCGATAACGAAAAGTAGCCTATGACACGCTCCCTGCCCCGAAGTATATGTGTGCCAAGTTTGGTCCGAATCAGTTCAGAAATAAAAATTTCTATTCCGCACATACGTACAGACATACAGACAGACATACAGACATTCAGCTTTATATATAAGACTAGCGACCCTACGGGTCGCTAGCAAGCGGGTTGGGCACATCCATAAATAAACGTGTTTCATACCTATAATTTTCTCAAGTGAATTTTCAAATTATCAGTATATTAGGTTGTTGCAAGGATAATGTCCATTTTGCGAATTTTCAATTTGGAAGGTTATAACTTTGTTCACTTTTCATATTTTTGAATGCAGTTAAGATCGTTAGAAACAGCAATCCTTTCGCAATTTAACGCGCACCTGCCCGCACTGATATTGCAAACAAGAAGAAAACCATGATGAGATAAGATCAACTCCGGTCCGCCTCAAGAGAGATGCCCTGATGGGGGGTTTACTACGGGCCTTTGTTTTGCCATAGTCACTCTCGCACTCACGCTTGCAATCTGGAGAGAAAAATCGAATTCACCTAGAGCAAAAGCTCCCAAAAGCGAGATTTTCGAAGATTTTCTCAAAATTTGGCCGGAAAAGTGGATCATATCGGGCTAAAATTTTGTTTTGCCCCAGTCATCGCTGTACAGCTTCCGTTCGCAACGTCACTCTCGCACTCACGCTTACAATCTGGAGAGAAAAATCGAATTCACCCAGAGCAAAAACACCCAAAAGCGAGATTTTCGAAGATTTTCTCAAAATTTGGCGGAAAAGTGGATCATATCGTGCTAAAATTTTGTTTTGCCCCGGTCATCGCTGTACAGCTTCCGTTCGCAACGTCACCCTCGCACTCACGCTTACAATCTGGAGAGAAAAATCGAATTCACCCAGAGCAAAAGCTCCCAAAAGCGAGATTTTCGAAAATTTTCTCAAAATTTGGCGGAAAAGTGGATCATATCGTGCTAAAATTTTGTTTTGCCCCAGTCATCGCTGTACAGCTTCCGTTCGCAACGTCACTCTCGCACTCACGCTTACAATCGGGAGAGAAAAATCGAATTCACCCAGAGCAAAAGCTCCCAAAAGCGAGATTTTCGAAGATTTTCTCAAAATTTGGCGGAAAAGTGGATCATATCGTGCTAAAATTTTGTTTTGCCCCAGTCATCGCTGTAGGGCTTCCTTTCGCAATGTCACTCTCCCACTCACGCTTACAATCTGGAGAGAAAAATCGTTCACCCAGAGCAAAAGCTCCCAAAAGCGAGATTTTCGAAGATTTTCTCAAAATATGGCGGAAAAGTGGAAGCAAAGTGAATACTGAAATCGGATGTGAGCAGATCAAATGGTATGCGTCTATAACTAACTTTACAACAATGACCAAGCTCGCATTTTCAACACCCTTGGCACGCGCTTGCGTCTTTCAACACATCCATTGCAGCAGCAGAGCGTACCCTGCGTGTCGTGGCCTCTCGTTCGCGCTAGGACCTCTGCGTCCTCTTGACCTCATGATCGCACCGTCGCGTCTCTACACAATAAGGCCCCGTTCGGCAACTGGCGTCTATTCAAAACACCCGTTGAAGCATACATGTGGGCGGACCATCCTCGCCGTCTCGTTTTTTGGGATCGGGTTTATATTATAGGAGAGGATGATACTAGGGGTAGTTTGCTTTTATTCTTGTGATTTTAGATGCACTCATTTGATTCGATTGATTAGTGAGACATAAAACTTTATATTGTTTTGCAATAAAACTTTCCATATTTGTTTCAAACGTGCAGATAGAGGAAAGTGCTTGGCAGCCGATACCGTGCTAGGTGCATTAGCATTCTTTGTTAGCCGCATAATTTATGCTTCGGTGCTGCCTTCGACGAATTATTCTACAGTCTCTGCATACAATGACTGCTTCAAACCTTCGAGAAATGCTTTTGTTTGATTCTTAGCTGACTACAGGAATTTTCTGAGATTGTGAGCTTCGGTTATAAGTTTTGAATACAGAGAATACGATAGATGTCGGATCAAAAGCAGATAATCTTTCGGGAAATTGATACGCTAAAGCAAGCCCTTCCAGTAAGTGGAGCGATTTTGGAACAACAGGTGAGGTGGCTACTGTACTGGAAAAAATTTCATGAGGCTGTTTTAGGACCGCACCTCAGTCCTTCGAGTAGCCGCCATATACCTCTCTATGAGAAATTACTTCACCCGACAAGTGCCATTCTCACGGGACACCATCGAGACCACGTCACTTATTCTGCAGGTGAGTAAGCATAACGACTTCTAATGTCTATCAGCAAATTATTTTCAGGCCTTGGATGGCTTCTGCTTCATACTTGATGATCGATTTCGTATTCTTTACATCACCGAATCAGTGTCGACCCATCTCGGATTTTCACAGGTATATTCAAATGCACCTACCTGAAACATTTTTACACTATCAATCGATCACCCCCTCATTCTCAATGCCTTGATGTTACCGTAACGCGCTTTCAGGTACAAATGGTTGGTTGTTGCATGAGTGAATTTGTTCACCCCGAAGATTTCTCAGTGCTCAATCATGTTATGTCCATCAATATCGGAGTACCTCATACATATACACAAAAGTAGGTTTTCATTTTCATTACTCAAAGTCTGCTTATTCTTTGCGTCTCATCTTCTCAGCATCTCTTTTCACTTTAAGCATTTCATTTGATCTGATTGCTATCAAAAAAATTATTATGTGAAAGAAGGCCGCGCACTTTTTTGATTTCCTCCTTTTATATAATTAAGTCGCTAACCTGATCGGATAACTCGATGAACAAAATATATAAACGACCAAGACTTACCCATTTAGACTGGAATCTAGCACGCAATTCACCTTACGGATGACGTCAAAATTGCCGAAACGAAGCTGTGGATTCATGTTCGCTGGATACAAGGTACAGCTTTTTTATGCTGAGAATGTCGACAATAGCGCAAAGTCTGAAACTTTCTGTGCTCATCAAATCACCGTCATGCTCGAAAATATTTGAATTTTGCTTTCCACAAATTTTTTATGAATTACTCCGGTAAAATGCCACAAGCGTCAGATTATATAATCTTCAACAAGCTGTTTGCAAAGTAAATACTGCGACAGGATACGATAATTCAAGGTAGAGCCGTCATTACAGTTTCGAGCTTGGCACGGTCCCTAAAGCAAATTGCTCTATTGTTTTGACAGATATTGTGACGTAGCCCATTACTAACTATTTCCATATGCCATGCCTGATAGCAAAAATAATGGCACAACATTAAAAACATAAGCATAAAGCATTATAACAACATAATATCGCTAAGTGAAAAGAGCTTTTTGATTGACGAAGTGGAAGAAATACATTTCGATGACATTTTTGGAATTCAGTGCGATAGATGCTAAAAACTTCCCTCTAGTTTCAGTGGTACTTCAAAACTAGTTCAACAGGAGACTGTTCTCAAATTTCCAGAATTCTGAAAAATAGTCTTCCATGGACATTACGACCTCTTGGTAGAGCAGATGTCTTGACGTCCCCTCGAAGTTTGCCCAAGCTCTAATGAGATTTGCTGCTTAGCTCACCTACCTGGTCTGACCGATTTATCGAGTTCCAATGGCTTACCTTTTGAAAACATAGAACCCAAGCTATAGAATGGTAATACAGAAGCCATCTCAAACATTTTTCCAATCTTCTTATGAATTGGTGCGCTTGCAAAAATTGTAAGCTTATCAATCTCGCTACTTTTCGCTACTTTCTTTTAATTATTAGCACGTTTGTGCTTTGAATAATAAAAAAGGATGCGGCCGAGTTTTGAGCCAGGTTATGTGAAATGGCTGTTTATTTGGTATACAAGCCTTCATCGACATGGTCGTCACATGCGATGTATGCACAGCAGTGTGACTGCAAGGGAGAAATCTCCGTGGTGCATCTTCATCAAAGTTCTGAATGATTTATTTATTTATTTATTTATTTATTTGATATGTAGGGGCGGAGTGGCCGAGAGGTTAGTGCCCTTGACCACGGCGAGGGAGGTCACAGGTTCGGTTCCGCGATGGGCCTAATCTCTTTGGCAAAACTCTCGCCCCACGAATCCAGCGTCAGGCTGCTAATCCAAAGGGAAAGCAAGCGACAAGCCGGCTGAAGAAGACATTGGTCGCATCAAAATGCTCTTTTATGTCTCATCAAGTATTCGGAACAAAAGCTAGGGCGTTCCCCGGAGGCGACGCGCATTCGAGCCCGACGGATGCGAACAGTATGCTAGGGTTACCGTTTCAGCAGGGTGAGCGGGGACGGTTGAAGAAGCTAGCTCACCATAGGCGAGTATCCAAGTTCTCAGCGTTACGTCTAGCCACCGTCAATGTAGGATCACTCACTTCACGGCATCGCGAGTTGGCTGATCTTCTCAGAAGACGTAGGGTTGACATCGCCTGTATTCAGGAGACAAAATGGAAAGGAGAGAAGTCACGAGACATAAGTGACGGGTACAAGCTTCTGTACAAAGGAACGTGCAACAACAGGAACGGCGTCGGTATAGTGGTCTCAGAAGCGTTAAGAAGTAGAATCACGGACGTAGATCGAATAAGTGATCGACTAATGTGCATCAGAATGGATATGGGGAAAAGAATTCTACGAGTCGTAACCGCATATGCGCCACAAGTTGGGTGCACGGAGATAGAGAAGGATGAATTCTGGAAGCAGCTCGATGACTGTATCGACTCGATACCACGCGACGAGATGCTACTAATAGGAGCAGACTTCAACGGGCATGTAGGTGTACAACGAAGTGGTACAAGCAAGTGTCATGGTAATCACGGATACGGAACACGTAACAGCGAAGGAGAACGTATTCTGGAGTTCGCCACTGCGCATGACTTGGCACTGGCAAACACATACTTTGTAAAGAAGGATAGTCATCTCATCACGTACGCCAGCGGGAATCGGAAGACACAGATAGACTTCTGGACAGTACGACAAAGTGAGCTTAAGTATGTGAAGAACACCAAGGTCATACCCGGAGAAGACTGCATACCACAACATCGACCACTAATTCTGGATCTGAATATTCCAGCCGACAAGCAAAGAAGAACAACAACAGGGCAAGTAGCACGGATCAAATGGTGGAAGCTCAAAGACAAGGACCACATCAGAGCAGCCATGGAATCTGCCCTACCAGAGTTGGAAGAAGAATCAGAAGACTCCTGGAAGAAGTTGAAGAAGAATGTCCATCAGATAGCAAGCAGTCTACTAGGACGTACGAAGCCAGGAAGGGCAAAAATTGACAAAGAAACCTGGTGGTGGAACGAAGAAGTGCAATCCATGATCAAGAAGAAGAAGACAGCGTACAGAATGTGGCAGAAGCTGAAATCAGAAGAAGCACGGCAGAGATACTCAGACGCGAAGCGGGCAGCCAAGAAGAGTGTCAAAGAGGCAAAAGAAGCGTATATGGAGGTACTCTACAAGAAGCTGCACACTCGAGAAGGCGAACGAGACATCTACCGACTCGCGAAAACAAGATCAATCGCCACAAGAGATGTAGAGCACTTCTACAGTATCAAGGACGCACACGGGAAAATGCTCAGGAAGCCACAAGAGATAAGAGAAAGATGGAGAGCACACTTCGCCGAGACAGCGTCTACAAGCCACGAGTACACAGTGACGTCTACAGCTGAGACTGTGCATGGACCAGTTCCAACTATCACCGAAAGCGAAGTTCGCGCCGCAATAATGAAGACGAAGAACGGCAAGGCGACAGGCCCCGATGACATCCCCAACGAATTCTGGAGAGCATGTGGTCAAGCTGGAGTTACATGGCTAACACGACTGCTCAATCGGGTGATAGAAGCCAAGAAAATTCCAAACGACTGGTGCAGAAGCGTGACGGTACCAATATGGAAGAACAAAGGTGACGTAGCTGACTGCTCGACGTACCGCCCCATCCGACTTATGTGCCACACTCTGAAGATCTTCGAAAGAATTCTAGAAGCACGACTGCGAAACATCGTGGAGCTAGTCCCTAACTAGTGTGGATTCGTCAAAGGCCGCAGTACAACAGATGCCATCCACGCTGTCAGAATAATGATGGAAAGAAGCAGGGAAAAGCAATGCGAGATGCACGCGGCGTTCCTGGACTTGGAGAAGGCGTTCGATAAAGTGCCGCATGACATCATATGGTTGTCACTACGAAAGCACATGGTGCCGGAAGAATATGTGCGATGGATCAAGATGGTATACAAAGATGCCAGAAGCCACGTACAAACAGCAGCAGGGCCATCAGAAGAGTTCCAGATCAACGCCGGAGTTCATCAAGGCTCTGTACTGTCACCCCTCCTCTTCATCACGGTAGTGGATGCGATAGTTAGAGACTTCATACGGCAACCTCCGTGGGCTCTGATGTACGCAGATGATGTGATGCTGATGGCAAGAAGCAGGAACGTACTGGAGGCCGAGGTGCAGAAGTGGAAAAATGAACTTGAGCTGCACGGCTTGAAGATCAACACCAGCAAGACCGAGTACATGGAGGTGGGACCTCAAACGCCTGGAACTATAGAAATCGAAGGCGCCCCAATTAAGAAGACCACGACATTCAAGTATCTAGGAAGTCGCATCGCCGCAGATGGTACGCTTCAGGACGAAATAACCAGCAGAATAAATGCAGCTTGGTCGAAATGGAGAAGTGTCACAGGAGTCCTGTGCGATAAGAAGATGCCACTCAAGCTAAAATCCTGGCTGTATCGCACTACAGTCCGCCCGACTGCTCTGTATGGCAGCGAATGTTGGCCGTGCACGCGAGAAGACGAACGAAGGATTGGTGTGATGGAGACACGCATGCTAAGATGGACAGCGGGAGTCACGATGCTGGACCACGTCACTAACGACACCATACGAGCTACGATGAAGGTCGCCCCTATCGTCAAGAAGATACAAGAGAAGAGATTGCGATGGTATGGACACGTTAGAAGACGAGCGGTAGATCATGTCGCTAGGTTGGTGATGTCAGTCGAAGTACCTGGAAAGAGGCCAAGAGGGAGGCCGAAATTGAGATGGATAGACAAAGTGAAAGCGGACTTGAGAGAACTTGAGATAGAAGAAGATCAAGCTGAAGATCGAGAAATCTGGAAGAGACTAACCAGAGCAGCAGACCCCCTCTGAGGGAAGAATGCAAGGATAAAAAAAAATTTATTTGATATGCAAAACGCGTGCCACATGACCACAGTCAATGAAAAAACTCAAGATACATTCAGTAGTAAGGAAAACAGTAACACAAAAAAACATCTATTGAATCAGCTTAAGTCCAGCCCCCGAATGTTGTATAAAGAGAAGGGAAATAAGCTTGTTTAGACCATGTACGGAATCATGTCATAGGCGAAGAATCTCGATGGAGTGATGAGCCAAATTATGTCAAGACAGTGTGCGGAGTGCTCGGCACAGCTGGCGAAGGGGAGAGCTTGGATACAGCTTTCGAGAAAAAAGAAAAAGGGCATCTTTTTGTGGGGTCCGGAATGGAGCGTTGTTTTAGAGATATTGTGGGAACTCGGTGGACTAAGCACCGAGCAGCCACAATATCTCTAGGGGTTCCGCAAAGAGCCGCAGCTAAACCATAAATTCGCACTTCCCCTATATGATGCGCGAGTATAAAGTTACCCCTTAGCGGCCGCTGCTAAGAAGTACCTCTGCCCTTTACAAGTAACACCGCCATCTAGACGCTTATAAGAGACCTAAAGAAGTGGCTAGATTGCACACATTTCAGTAACTATCAACAAGGGAATAATAAAAAGTCGGAGTTGCCAATGCAAACAAGCTACATATTATTGGATGCAGCATATAATGCTGAGTCCAAATCCGTCCTCCGCATTAGCTGAACGCCTTTGTAGATGAAGTAATGAGCAGCTTTATTGCAAGAGGTTATAGATAGCGAGATTAGGCACATT